TTTCCATRTTCAAAGTGCCCAAGTAACAGCAAGAAAATGTTTCCCCAACCCATAAAAGACCTAAGCTCAAGCTAGAAGTTTTCAGAAAATACATATTTACTATAAGCATCTAGACAAAAGAGAAACAGAAAGTAATCAGTGTTTCAACATAAAATACAGAGTAAATGGGAATTGTGTCAACAGAACACAACATAGGTTTTTTTTTTTTTTTTCACTCTGTGATGGTACTAGGTATTGAACCCAGGGGGGTTAATCACCTAGCAACATCCCCAGCCCTATTATTATTATTATTATTATTATTATTATTATTATTATTTTAGACAGTTCTCCCTAAGTTGGTGAGGCTGGCTTTGAACTTTGCTGTTCTCTTGCCTCAACCTCCCAAGCCACTGGGATTACAGTCACCACCGGTGCCACTACGCCCAGAGCAACATGGTATTTTTGATTGATAGGTACTCAGAACTGGGGGAAAAAATAGAAAAAAAAAAATAGAAAAAGAGTTCAATGACAGAGTAAAGTAGTCATTTGGTGCCCTGAGCAAACCTTTACTGAGAACCTGTTTWAGGGATCCTATCACAGAGGACAGTGAGAAAATAATGAGCAAAACATTTCAAGTGCTCACTGCACAAGGGGAGGCCACACAGGTAACAGATAAAAACAGGATGCACGAATAGCCCRGTAAGACATCCATACTGGAGGTACCTACCCCAGACTGGGATGAGAAAGGAGAGAGTAAATGATGAAGCAAGAGACAGACAACTAAAAAGACTAGGAAAAGTGTTCTAAATAGAAGTGGCATTTGCAAAAGCAGTAAGAGTTTGATAGGATTCAGGCTGCTTCCTACAATCCAGTGTGGTAAGAACAGGATAGGTACAGGGAGCCGCACAAAATAGACTGGGAAGAACGGCAGAGGCCAGGGCCTAGAGGGTCTCACAGGCCAGTCAGGAGATACATTTTGATCTTAAGGTGCTAGAAGGCCATGGTAGGAATGTCAGTAAGGAGGTTGACATATAAGGCAACTGTCATGGGAAGACATATCCAAGACAGGATTAAGAGATAACCAAGACAAAGACTTAGTTTTGAAGAGGACTGGGAGAGGGTTTGAAGTTGAGCCTAAACTACCAGAATTGTAAAGATTTGTATTTCATCAAAAATAATCTAAAGGCTGAGGAATTCTGAAAGTACACACTTTGAATCCCAAATAAATAATGTTATAAATGTTTCTCAGAATATTTAAAATAGAACAAGCTTGTAATTGAGGAGACAAAAAAAAAACAATTGCTTTACTCAATAAAAATGTCTGAATGAACAGTTTATCTATATAATATGTAGAAAAATCCTAAACATTTCACAGTTCAGCGTTTAAAAACACAAAAATGTGGATATACACAGAAAAACAATTTTTCAGAATTTGGGAAAAGCCTTTCTAAGTATTTAAAGTGTGAATCATTTGATGTCTAATAGCAAGCATACAGGAAAAAATCTTAACCACAGCATAAAAGTCACATTTTCACAGATTCTCTAAATAGCAAAATATTATTCATTCACATTTCAGATTGTTTTTTTTATTTTTGGAATAAAAATAAGCAGACTTTGAATTTTGTGAACCATAATTTATAAGTTTTCTCAGATAATGTACATATGTTTATAAGAGACGGATTTTAAATTACAAGTGCTAATTTAAATTGAATCTTGATCCAAGTGTTAAAACCATCTTTCTAATATTTCTAAGTTTATTTAATTTGTCTTTCTTTTCCTCTCTATTCCTCCTTCCCTCAAATATATAAAAATGTTTGACMCCTCAACCAAGACCCTTCATACACAAGCATAGTTGTTTTAGGAATCTGAAGTTACAAATAGGATCCTTAAGGTAGAGATTACCTTAGTTTAAGAACTTTAATCCTGTGATTCTAATAATCAATGAAGAGAGAAAAGATGAAATGTGAATGCAACAAAACAAATGTCTTAGGAGTAGGATCTATTGTTAGTGGGGAAATGCTATTTTTATAGGCTCTGAAAGGTACAATATACTTGTCAAGACAGTTAGAAGTAACCTGGCTATTTCAACCATACCAATAAATCTGTTCACATTAAGTAATTATAGAGTAGGAACTGAAAAGTAAGAAGGCATTAAAGAATATAAAATATTATGTATGCATCATGAACTTAATTTGGAATTCTTTGTGTTTCAGAAAATGTGGGAAGGTCAAAAAAAGGTGGAGGTGTAAAAACTGAAAGAACTTCAAGTTGGCAAAAGACACGAACTGCAATTATACTCAAATGCCCTATTTAGAAAAACATCTTGAAGCCATCCTCAAGTGTTAAAAGAAGGAGGTATTTGTTGACTACATTTTTAATCTTTCCGTTAATTAGTTATGCTTCAGAACTTATTCATTAAACTCCTCAGCACTTTTGACACACTAAAGAATTACGTACCTACCAAGAGACTATAGAGAGGCAAGGATCCAAAAGAATAAAACTGCACCTGTTTTTGGATTCAGAGATTCTAATTAATTTTGAAATGACCTCCCTTCTCTACTTTTCAACTRGCAAATGCTTTGGTGCCGGAGACAGCAAGTCCTGCTAAGTAAAGATATAAAAAMCTGATGAACTTATTCATTAAGGTAGAACCTAAAAATAGATGGATGAGTAGATAGCGAGAAAAATTACAGTATACACCCTGCTCATACTTACTATTTTTCTTTACCAAAAAATAAGAAGAGAAAGAAAAACTAAAAGAAAGAGTCACCAAACTGTCAGATGTGATACTGGTTAAACTAGTATTTCCCCTCCCCCTTCCTTAAAACAGTACTCAAACATTTTGAATGTCAACCAAAAAASAAAAACAAAAACAAAAAACCCAATCTAATTACCTCTCAGCTGAATTAGTCTTTCTTAGAGGCCTATGGAAAAAGAAGAAAGAAGGGTGCCAGAGAAATACCCATGCAATTTGACTCATGAATCCAAGACATGAAAATTTCTCTGAATCACAAGATTTTTGAAGACAAAGAACAAAAAAGCACACACTCCAAGAAATAGAATGTGGCAGAGAGATGACAAGGCTGGTCCAATACCCAGGGGCCCCGTGTTCATTTTTACTGTGTCATTGGGCAGAACCAGTTACCATTTTATTCTAMAATGAAAGGAAAATGCATTTTGTCTGTCTCACTGAGCAAATTATTCCATTTTAAGAGACCCAGCCCAGAGGCACTGTACTCYGGGCTTTCTCCAACCTTCTTTCAGAAAAGGAGTTACCAAGGTGCAGCTGTAATGAAGAAAATAGTGCAAAACAAACAACCATGCATCTACAAGCTGAGGTAATTTACGGTGACAGTACTCACTCTCATGCAGTATATTTGACRTCTGTTTTCCCACCACCCCCCATTGACATGAACATTCAGGAAAATAAAAGACATGTGTCTCTTATCCTCCTCTTTAAGCAAACAAGAATGGTTGCAGAATGGAGATGCTTTGTTTTGCCACAAAGGATCATGTTGGTGATGTGTGCACTTCTTATGAAGCATTATCTATGCTTCCTTTATTCTCCAATTAACAAAGCACACAAGCACTAAGGACCACTAAGCACACCCTGAGCACTAAGCACACAGAGGGTTCCAAAAGCACTGTGTTCTTTTTCTTGCGAATGCATTTTTTAAAAACAGCTCCTAGAAGTTGTTTAATTGTAACTGTAATGTTTGTAAGCAGTGAAGAAAAGGTTTACAAACAATGCTGTTCAGTCATTCGCAAGCCTGGTCCATTTTCTATCACTCGATTYTTACAGAAACTGTTTTCCTAGGAAAGGTCATTTCTTCTAGATTCTGAATTCTGTCTTCTTCAAGTAATTATGCCTTTTGAAATCAGTTTTTTCATTTTTGTGTTGGACTTGAAATCAGTTTTCAGTTTTGCTTTTGTAGTTTCTAAAAATCCATCGGTCAATCTTTTCCTTATGAGAATAAGTGGCATTCAAGCTACTGTAGGTTGACCTCAGTAGCTAAAAATCCAATAGTTTAAAGATTGAGCTCATTTTTCACGAGACACAAACCATGAAAAATATGATCAAAATGGAGTTGACATCCTGAAATTCTTATTTTACCTGAGAAAAAACAAGGGATGGTTCTTGTTTGACCTCATTTTGGCCTCCTTGCATACCTACGTGGATTTCAGGAGCCTGCCTTAGATATTTGAGCAGAAAGTGATCTAAAAGTTCACTTAGCAATTTTTTACCAAGCTGTATCTTCTACCCTGTGCCCACATGTGTACACTTCTTATTTTGTCACATGCACCATTGATTCCTTTGTGTCATTGTTAGCATAACTATTTCCTGGGTCTCTGAATTTTAGAATAAAGTTATTATTAGATAAATCATTTTCCTGGCTAATGAAGATGGATGGATAGAACAAGTTTTATAAACCTAAATGTCATTTACTTATTTTGTGCTCTCTATCACGTAAGGGATCAGACTCATTAACTTCCTCCTCCTTCATCTTACTACTTAGGTACACTGAGATGAGGCAGAAAAATAAAGAGTAAGATGATGTGTACTTGAGATAACTTATTTATTTATTAGCTGGGCAAGTCACCAAACTTTTCTGGGCCTTGGTTGGTTCCTCTCTTAAGGAAAGGGTTGAACTAGATAAGTCTATTACCCCTCTGAGACYAACCCCCTGAGTTACTAACTTGACGATCATTCCAAAATCCAGTTCACACTTACCAACATGGGATTATAAAGCACTTTGGGCTGTGAGCAGCTATAGCTTAAAGGTAGTGTTCTGCTATTGCCAAAGTTTAATCAAACCCTCTCACAGCCCATTAGGCTGTGACTGATACGAATGTTCTTTGCTGAAGCAGCATTCCTAGTTTTCACTGAGATTCATCACCTCATTAGTGACCCAATTTCTAAAATCACCAAACAAGGGAAATTTCTGTTTAAAAAAGCTGACAAGTGAAAAATCTCTAAAACCATTCCACATTTACTACTACATTAGGAAAGTTCACAGTACCTAAAATAGCCACCACCTCGTCATCCTGGATGACTTCCAAGGATCCCGACACCACAAAGCAGAGGGCATCCACACTTTCTCCAGCGTGGTAAATGAGGTCCCCAGGAGCACAGTGAATGGTTTGGAACTCTACTGCCAAGGCTCGCAGACACCCATCGCTGGCCAATCGAAAAGCAGGATGTTCATTAAAAACCTTCCGGTTTAGATGAACACAGATATCAGCTCTCATGTCCTTGGGACAGATGGAGAGGACCTGAAGAAAGTGAGAGATGAGTAAGTGAGAGGTAAAGAGAAAGGGGCCATTTCAGGAAAAAAAAAATCCAACAAATATTTATTGACTATGATGATGTCTACTGCATGTTCTACTAATTCTTGGGAAGGCAAAATTAACAAGACACAGCTCCGGTCTCAAGGAGCAGCTAATACTCTAGTGAAATGGGCTGATGTTCATGTGGGTTATTATAATACAACACTCCATAGTGAATGCTTCGMGAAGAGAATGGGTCTCCCCATGAAAAAACGTAGTCTTGTGGTCAGAAAGGGCCCAAGAAAAAAAGTTACTGTCATTTCATCAAAGAGCCAATTAAAAAATGATATTAACATTCATTTTAGTCTAACTGACATGTCACAACTATGTCATAACTAAACTGATATTCAATACTATGAACCATGCATTGTGGGCAGATTCATATTTGCTAACTATAATCAACCAAAGCACCCTGGGAATTCAACTTGCTAGCTGACATAGCTTTATTCTTGTGTTTTCTTCTGTCTAAAATATTCTCCTTTCACATATATATATATATATATATGTAAAAGGAAAATAATATATATATTTTTTTTCAAGGATGATAAAAGGCATTCACCAGCCTTCCATAGGGCTTAGGTAACTGGAAATGTCAGCATCAGCAGGGAATACATCATTTTGCATAGGAGTCTTTGCTCCTTCCCATCTTTGACTCCTCGAGATTGCTGAGGGCAGTAGCAGAATTCAAGCTCTAGGCATCCTTTAGAAGAAGGACACATGGCAGAATCATTCTTAGAAAGTAAGGCATAGAGAGCTTTTATTGGCTTTTATTTCCAACAGGGCATTTAAACACCCTGGTTAAAATGGACAACCTCATCACATTTAATCAGAAGATTACTGAGCTGGATGTGATTACAGAAGTCGCCACTACCCACTTCTGAGATATAGTTGTGAACTCATTTATAGACCTTCCCCAACCCCCTTGGTAACCTACTCTTTTTTTTTTTTTTTAAGAGAGAGAGAGAGAGAGAGAGAGAAAGAGAGAGAGAGAATTTTTTAATATTTATTTTTTAGTTTTCAGCGGACACAACATCTTTGTTTGTATGTGGTACTGAGGATCAAACCCCCGGGCCACAAGCATGCAAGGTGAGCGTGCTACCGATTGAGCCACATCCCCAGCCCCTGTAACCTACTCTTTATAATGTTTTTCTTTGATAAGATTTAAGTGGGAATAAAGACAGTGCTTATATCATAAGCTCATTACAAAAATTAAGTGAAAGGGCATAAATACACCCCAGTTTAGCCTGGCTAAAAGGCTAAAGAAATGCTAGCTTTTATTATCCCTTTGGAACACGTGTGTTCCTACAGTTTATTATTGCTTTACTTTCTTCAAAAGCAATTTACTTGTTTCACTTTCTACCCCTGTCTAAAGCCTACATCTGGGGGGTTTTATAAATTTCCAAATGGAATTAAGAAAATATTTTATCAGGTATTTGAAGATATTACAAGCACTGGTTGAGATGATTTTTCTCAAGTTGAAAGTGAAATTTGGTCTAGGAAAGCAAAAAACTAAAAAAAAAAATTTTAAATACACATATACATACATATTACACTGAATGGTTTAATGGAAAATGGACTGCTCTGTTTCTATCCATTTACCACATAGGACTTTTTTCATTGTTTTAGATTCATTTGGTTAAGAGTCATTTTCTGTTCTTTTAATACACTCATATTACAATTGGAATTTTTCAATACTTACAAGATTCTCTGTTAAGTGCCATTTCAAGAGAGGATTTTTTATTATATTTTAAATKCATCATCTCTCTTTTGTTTTGCTCCACTTATGACCCGAGCTCATTGATCATTATGATGGATAGTATATACTTATCTCTGGAAGTCACAGGTGGCAAGTCAAAACCAAGTGTTAAAATAGGCCAACCAGTCACACCCAGTGGAAAGCTTCCTCCCCTACCCTACATAGAATATGTGCCTGACATGGTGTGTCTGCTATCAAAATGTAAGTACAGCATTATTTACCCTGAAAATGAAAGCACTAATAACTTTCTTAAGCAAGGCAAAATTTAGTTTGATGTGATAGAATAAAATTATCATTCAAAGTAGCTCTWAAACTGAGTCCAGTGGTCCCAGTATCAATGTATTCTGTCTTGACTGTCAGATCCAATTTCTTCTGCTCAGGCTCCCTAATGGGCATCTTATAGTTACCAACAAATACAATTACATGGCAGAAGAAAATATTCAGGTTAAAAGTGACTTTTGTTTGTCTCCAGAGTTGATTATTTCTCCCCTCTTCACATCAAGATATTAATAAATTAAATAGATTCTTAATTAAGAGAGGCAATAAGTTTTCCCTTTGGAAGAGCTATGACTATATAAGGAACCATTATGTAGAACTTTGCAAACCAGCCCTGAACAACAACAACAACAACAAAAAAATGAATGCCACATTTTGAAAAATAAAAACTCTTTATCATATTCATTAACACCAAGGTCAAGTGGTATCACAGCAGATATCCCTCAGGCTCCAAAGATCTAAACTCAACACTAAGATAAAACGAATTCGTAGTAAAAAAAATATGATCATGTTATTGCTACTTTCTTAAAATATCTGATGCCTTGCTTTCCCACCAGGTAAAGCCAAAATTCTAACCAAGCACAGCAGGCTCTGTACCTCAGGAGCCTCCCTCCCTCCTCCCTCCCTCCGAGGCCACATTCCTCCAAGGCACCATCTTTCTCCCCACCCAATTTGCCATGCTCTCTCCTGACCCTCACACATGCTTTCCCCTTCTCAAGCACAACCTATCCTCTCTTTCTCTACCCAGTCTTCTCTGATATTTGTCAAAGCACATAGCATCCCTTTCTCAACCATAAATACAGTGTCTACACAGAACCATCACCAAATTTAGGAATATGTTAAAGACAAAAATGAGAGTCAGAGGTGTTGTGATTTGTTGCTATTTTTTAATAACATAAAATAGTAACAATTATTACTAGAGATTTTACACATTTGTCTTCAGCTACAAAATATTTTTTTAGTATTYGAAGAAACCATACCTTATGCCCAATATATAAGACAGACACAAGCAAAATCTATGCTGGAAGAATCCCTGCTGGGCAGCCATTCATTCATTCAACTACAGTTATTGAGCAATGCTTTGTCTATGTGTGTTAATACTATGCAGTGCCTTATCCAATGCTCCATTTTTACAGATAAGGCAAATGTATCTTATAAATATTACGCGATCTTCTGAGGTCTTTTTAACAGATTACTATCAAAAGTTCTTGGGTCCTATCTCTGAAGCCATATTCCCKAGTGAAGATCAACCAGCAATAAAATATAACATCTGACACATTYGGATGTTTTTGGTCCTCTGTTACTGCAAGAACATAAGTACTGATTTCTAGAAACAATTTAAGGTCAAATAATTCAAATCCATAGTTTATTTATAAGTTATTAATACCCCTACCTCTACCACTGAACAGCCAAGATTTTGTTGGAAATTTGCTTTCCATTTCTACATACATTAATTTTAGCTTCAATAAATGTATTGCATATTTGAATTTKTTGATAAATACATAAGAATTTGTTGCTAAGTCCTTTATATCCCATTATTATTTGCTAAGGGGAAGTCATCTAATTTGAAATGAAAGTTTCTGTGAATAAATGAAAAGGACTTGAGTTAGATATTTAGAGTGAACGTTTGATAAATGTTTCTCCCCTCTATCACCTTGATCCATTATGGTATTAGTAATGTTGCAAACCCATAGAAAAAGAGGGAGTCTAAATATGATAACCAACACAGAAGCCAAGAAATTAAAGTAAGATCCACTAAGGAAATATTGATTAYAGAGAGTCAAAGACACAGAGTTTTGTCCTTTTTCTTAGATATTCTGTGAATGTATCTTAAAATGTACCCTAATATTCACTATATAAAAATATGCAAAATATTTATATTTTTATATATCTTGCATAACAACTTTTGTTATCCTCTAAAGTTTTATTTCATGCTATGATCACTCAAAATGATATTATAATCAATCAAAATGTACATGCCATAAAATACTTAAAAATATAACTTCAATCATTCATTGATATTRTTCCATCATAGTTATAGCACAATTTAACCATCACATTACATTTAACATTGCTATGTCCTGCTTTCCCTTTCATAAATAAGGATACAACAAATACCCTGCTTATATCAGATCATCAAAGCACATATTTTTAGAAGTAAAATTAGTGAGTAAAATATAAAGCATGTTAAAGGCTCTTGCAAAATCGCTTCTCAGAAAAAGGTGTACTAAATTTCTCTAACCAACTGTGAATGAGAGTATCTTATATGGTCTCAATAATCTCAGTCTTTAATCTCCCATATGGATTTGAAAGAGAAAAGGCAATTTCACCTGAAAGAAAAACAGAATTTCACAGGATAATAAGGTGCAAGAGCTTCCGCCTCAGTGGATTACTGCTCCTGCTCCTCAGCTCACAAACCTCTAATGTGCAAATGGCAATGAAGAAGACGAGTGTCTGGAGGGAGTGAATTAAGCATGGCTTTTCCTGAGGTCCCTTACTGTTATAAGATAAATTATCTTATTGATTATCTAGAAAATCCTCCATTCAGAGTACAGTGTCAGCTATTTTTAATCATAACTGATAAGTCAAAATGATCCCATTTTCTTTCATAGAACAAAGGATATAAACACATTAATGACATTTTGATAGGCAATGAAGCTACTCCTGACATTCTTCAAAATTCCTCTTTATTTTCATGCAATTAAGTCATGCACTGCTAATTAATCTCTCCTCAGGAATCCAACTGAATTGATATTAGTTAGTGAAAAATCAGTGGAAGGAGTCAAGCAAATGACATTTCCACATAAAACATTTTTACAGTCCTTCCTAAATATAAGGAGCTCTAAGATGGTAAAAAAAAAAAAAATGAAGTAGATCTTCACAGGAATTTTATTTTCACTCATTTTACAAGGAG